GGATACTGCATGATTTAGGAGTTGGAAAAAAATATGTGCATAATGTTAATGAAAATAAATGTTATTTTACTCACTGAAGTGTTCACATACAGTATCCTACTTGCAGCAGTGGCAAACAGGCAAATATTTCCGACTAAATGTTTGTTTATTTGGGTGTGAGGATGGATTCACAGGTGCAAGTAGATTGGAACAATAATACAATTTTATGTGAATTTCAATTAATTAAAATATTATTTTCTTGTTGTGATATTCTTACAGACAACAACTAGCATTGTTGGAAAGGTCAAGTCATGCAGTCTAATTTGACATCCACTGCAACTTGCTGCAATAAATTCTTTGAAAGCAATTCAAGTGGAAAAAAGGATGTGAATTTAGATGCAAAGTGCATCCATCTGGCTGAGGGACAAAAGAAACTACATCTGGGGGAGTGTGACTGACCAGACAGACTTTATTTCTGAACCAACAACAACCACCTCCAAGTGGCAAACCTACACAGTAAAGCAGGCCTGCTTGTTTTTTGTTTTTAATTTTAATGAATGAATTAGCCATTTTAATTACAGTGCTCATCAATGGATGCAAATGTTCCACCAAAGCAATTTTCTCCACAGTATTTTACAGGGGGCTTGTTCCTGCCTCCTGGGCATGGCAATGACCACGGTTTAAGTGGTAAGTGGTTTAAGGAAATAAAAGAAGCCAGACCATGTCCCCCCTTAGTGCTGACAGACCATTCTCCAGAGTTGACACAGAGCTGAGGTCTGGATAAGAAAGACTACATCAGCGAAAGCAAGCTCAGCTAACTTTGGGTGAGGACAGGGTACACTCTGGACAGGTGTCCAGTAATGGGAAATATGCCATTTATAATAAACTTTAAGTATACTTTTAGATCGTTTTGCTTGCTATGATCTGTACTGCTCTGCCTCTGTGAACACTTACATAATGTCCTCTGTGGCTCTGAGATGAGAAAAATAAGCCTGATGCTTTCCTCAAGTGGCATTATGTGGAATGTAGAATGCAGGCTTTTTGGAGCTTGACCCAAGCCAGTGACTACGAGTCACGATATCTGCATTTTATTTTTTGTGCTTTTCCGTTTTTAAAGATATCTGCCCTTTTTCAAGTCTTCCAATGTTTTGCACGCAGTATTCACTGCCACATGTTTAAAAAAAATATCTCATCTGTTTTATGCAGCTTCTAATAGTCAATACAGAACACAATATTTACTGTCTTTTCAAAATGTTGACTTTACTCCCCTTTTTTTCCCCTTACTAGGCCATAGACTAGCTCTCAGAAAGTGCCTAAAAATTGACTGACGTTCCAGTATCGTGGGCAATCCTTTTAATTGTGGTTTTTATCAAGTAAAATAGTTGAACTTTTTCCACAAAAAGTTCCACAAGCGGGCTCCCTGCAGTTATCGAGTAATCGTCTTCCATAGTTGGAAAATTCATGAAAAACTGGACATTTTAGCTTCTCATAGCATTTTTCACTCCAATTATCTCAGACAGTAATAAGGCCATACACTTCAAACTTGACACTTACGTAGACAATCCCAAAAATGTTCAATATGTGGAATATTACGTAGATAGGAGTGCTGGTTGTGAAGAAAAATTATTTCAAGAAAGTCATAATTTCAAATAACTCTCCTATTGAAACAAGCACACAAGGGGACCCAATTCTTCACAGACAACATCAGTTACACTGATTGGTCGGAACAAGGTCACTGACGCTTCACACTCCTACCGCGGCAGAAAAGATAGTTCCATCTTCACACTCGAATTGCAAAACTACTACAGGATTTCTGCATGTGGAAACTTTATGGAAGTAGGATGGTTTGATATATTTTCAGAATATATAAAGAGATTTTATTTCCCAAAATAGTGAAACGGAACATCACGATAGATATAAATAAATAACAGGTATTTGATGATGAAGGACAGCAAGGTTTAATTTCAAAATAATATTAATTTTTAATGAATAATCTTTTTGAAGGGATCTGCAACCATCCAAAGTTTCCTTCTTATATGATTATTTATTTTACTGAATCTACTACTACTTACAAAACTTTTCAGAGATTTTTAAACACTCAACGTATTTATCTGAGCCAGGAACTCTTGTGGATAGTCTGGGCTAGCTGTGGTTGGACAGAACCACAGTAGACATGGATCAAGATTACATAGGAGTTTTGAGCCCAGTTTCCTCTGAATAACAGTAGTGTAATGAGAGTCCATAGAAAGCCCACACAGTCACATGTCCAGAGGTTTCACCCTTGACTCCAGCAGTTGCAGCTCCACCAAACCCACCAACAGCAACAGTGGGAGTTGATAATGTGCTATTGTCTGTTACTGTATGTAGTGCTGTTCCCCTTCAAAGCAGACACACAGGCTGCCACTGGTCGAAATGTTACAGTGATACAAAGATGATGCAGAATGTCAGTCAGCTGAATATTGCTCACATCAACATGTGTCGTCTAAACTACAATCTGCAGTTTGTTTGATCTGATAATCAATAATCCACCTGCAACACTGTCAGTAACACTGTTGGGGGTGGACTATTTCCTGTTATTTTCTGGAGGTTAAGCTCATAGGTGAAACACACTGATGTGAAAGTTCTCCTTATGTTCCAAACTCAGTGATAAGTAGTTCAAGTGTCTACTGAGGAGAGGTCAGATGGCACAGGGTACTCTTACAGGTTAGTCAATACAAATCACAACTGTGAAAGCTCTCTTTCTGTATCAAGCAGCAATAAAAGTTGATGTGATTAAGTACATTTGCCCTAATTCACACTGCACTCCTTGCGATGTGACTGTTTCACATGCACACGTTGCAGTGTCGATGCTGAAACGACATATCATGCAGCTCTAAAAAAAACGCAGCTTAGCCTGAAAACTCAAAGGCAACTGAGCATTCAAAGTTTTTTTTCTTCATCTCACGTAACAGCTTCAACTACAGACAGACAGGCAACAAGTAAAATTCAAAGAACAACAGCTTCATGCCCCTGCTGGTGCACTGATTGAAGAGCACAGATGACACCGACAAACCACTGAAAGTACTTGTTAACACATCACTTCCTTTAACACACGAGATGTCTCATGGGAAAGACTGCTGTAAAAGCCAGTTAAAGAAAATCTGGAATAATCGGCCACTAAAGATACTTCCCAACGAATACTTGATTTCCTCCTTTTTCGTCAAGTTTCATAAACACTACAGTGGTCTGCTATTTAGGGTGATTACAGAGCTTTAATTGTTTGAACTTTATGACCGTTACCAACTTATGTCCTGACATCACTTCTGGATTCGCTGCTGCTCCAATAATTTGTGAGTTAAATCTCTAGTGTGTAGAATTTAGAGGGAAAATATGTAATGGTATTTAAAATTCTGTTTTGTGAAGTGTATGATCCCTACCAGTCATTGTGTTTTTGTTAGCTTAGAATGAACAATTCATTTCCAAATAAAGGGCAAGTCCTCTTCCACAGAGCCCACCATGTGGTACAGTCATGTTTCTACAGTTGCCTAGAATGGACAAACCAAACACTGAGAAGACCTTTTACGGTTTCATGTCTAAGTAGTAGCCACAGTTGGTTCTGCATGCTTCATGCTCAGAAATGGAAGGTGATTCAGGTGGTTGGAATCTGGAACTGCTAGATATTACAAAATTCTACACACTGGTCCTTTAATGCTAACTCTCAATGCGCTTTCATTTAATCATTTTTCAGGAAAGACTGAAATATGTCTCTGGAGTTCACGGTCCATGCTCTTACAAATAAATGTCCACTAAAGCATTTGTTACTAGAATTCGAACATCCCTGATTTTAAGAATGTTAACAACGATAATCTGCAATCTCACAAACAACTTGTCTGAGGCATATGTCCTGCTGCCCATGCGCTGCTTTTGGTCACACCAGAGGGTAGAGAGTACAATTGGAAACATAATCGGGTTTTCTTACTTCTGGAACAGAACCTGGAAGTTATGGTTTCTGTTTCTGTACGGGTTTGAAGCTGAGAGCCGCAGAAAGGGAAGAAAAGTCAAAGCACAGAGAAACAAATCAAGTTGGTCTCAGTTTTTTAAAGGAATTTTTGACTGTACTGACAAACATATCACCAAACTCATCCTCCAAGTGTGTTTTGTGCTCATGTGGTGCATTTTTTATTTTCTATTTTTTAAATAAATCTGTTTAATTTATGTACATAAAGGCAACTGGGTGAATATGTCCAAAAGATTCTGGTGATGGAGATCGCTCATATTTTGCCCCGGAGCACCAAACTGTTTGCCTCGGCCACACTGTCTGGAGTGTAAAAAAAGAAACAATGCAAATTCTTACATTGCTTCTGCAGGATGCACAAGGCACCGGGGCGTGTTTACAGCACAGGATGTTTGCATCCTGACGTTCAACTTGCCAAGTGAAAAGAGACGACATGCTGCTGCATATGTAGCATAGATGATGTGATTAACATGAATTATTACTAAATGTGTTAACTTTGCCACACTGTTAACATTGTGATATATATCTTTTTAAAATTAAACCAGGAATTAAACCAAAATGACATTTTTGTGTACTTTTTAAAAACTGTTTTATCTTTTTTTAATCAATAAACTTTAGATTTTGACACCATTATCCCTGATGCAACAGGCTGGCACTAGGCTCTGCAAACATCTGCCTGGTTTATAAGAGGTCTGAAGGCGTTCAAAGGGTTAAATGCTTTATTGTAGAGCATGATGGTAAGCACACACAAACCTCCTTCATTTATGAGGAACCCTGACCACTACTGACATATCTTCTGATCAACATGTTGATATCATGCCTCAGGTGAGCAATAATCTCTCACATGAAGCACTGTTTTTAATTTATGTTCAACACTTCTCCAAAAGACAGTTTCACCTTGATGGCAGGAAGTGAAATGCCCTGTACTGTTTGTGCAGAGACACAATCTTTGTACGTGAACTAACACGTCCCGATGGAGCATTTTGTCAGTGCTGCGGCAAAAACATGAGGAAATGTTCTTACTCACCTTGAACACATCCCCATAGGTGCCGCACCCAATCCGGTGAATTAACTCGTAGTCATCCAGAGGGTCCAGGAATGATACCCCAATCCTGTCCATGTTTGGAGACACCTCTGGGTGCTGTGGGTGAGCCTAGCAGGCTTTCTACTCACACATCCCAGCTGTTGTTGTCGGAGGAGAAAAAGACAGCAGCAGATCAACGATCTGGAAGTGACTGACTGGTTAATGGGAACTAATTGGAGCTGAGTAATTGCTGATGTATCGATCAGACAGGCAGGACAGTTCACTGACAGCACTCCGCGTTCACTGACACACTACAAACGTCTGCGTGCAGATCGTCCCGAGAGGCGTTGGAGTCAGAGCACGCATGAGCAGAGACAGTCCACACTGTAAAAAATTCAGAACAAGTTTGCCTCTGTGTGTTCAACTGTAGTGTTTACGTCCAGTGAAAAGCTTTATTTTCACGCTCTATTTTTCTCTGCCACAAAAAAAGAGATTTAAATAAATTATAAACAAGAAAAATAGTCATGTCAAAAAAAGTCGTCAAAATAAATAAATGAATAAAACACAAAAACAATTTTATTTTTTAAATTTTGACTTTATTTTGACATACAAAATTGAGATTGTGCTCATAATTTTGACTCGGAGGGAACCCATATATATATAATTATTTTTATTTATTCATTCTTTTTTTTTTTTTTTTTTTAAAAGGCTTATGTTATCATTTTCACTTACAATCTAATACTTTTGACTATTAGGTAGTCATTATTTTGATGCATCATTCATTTGATTGACTTGGTATATCATAATTCTGGTAAGACCTTTGGATTGTGTAAAATGGTGGTCGCTGAAGGTCATCACACTAAAACCTCTCACAAAAAAAGGGAATGTATCAATTAAAAACAGGAAACTGTTGTTTCCTGTTTTCAGTTGATAGTCAGCATTGATTCTTTTGACCCTAACTATATTATAAAAGGTCCTCTGACCTTAATTAGGTACTTATTTGAACCAAAACCATGATCTATTGCTGAAAATAACCAAACTGCTTTTGTACATAAATCTAACCAACATAGAATTGTGACATCATAAAAGGATTAATATTAGTAATAAAACAACAGGCAATATGTGTCACCACTAGATATGTACACTTAGAGACAGACAACCAAGCACACTCACATTCACTCCTACAGACAATTTAGAATCACCAATTGACCATAACGTGTTTTTGGACTGTGTGGGAGGAAGCTGGAGAACCCGGAGGGAACCCACGCTGCACGGGGAGAACATGCAAAGTCCTTGCAGAAAGATCCTGGGTGACTTGAACTGGCGACCTTCTTGCTGCAAGGCAACGGTGCTAACCACAGCTCCACCTTGCAGCCCCATTCATAAACAGCCTATCATATCCCTTGATAATGGAGCAGCTTTGCCATCCATCACTTTCTTTGTAGATTCTGTGCAGATCTATTGTGACACATTAGTCTATGGCTCCCTGGGCCTCTTGTAAATGGTCTGGCATTACATAGCGCCTTTCTATCTTCATGGTACTCAAAGCACTTTACAATGCGTTTCCCTTTCACCCATTTACATTCATACACCAATGGCTACAGAGCTGCCATGCAAGGTGCCTGCCTGCCATTGGGAGCAACTTCGGGTTCAGTGTCTTGTGTAAGGGCACTTGGACATGTGGAGAGACAAGGTAATCGAACCGCCAACCTTGTCACCATTGTCTGCACCAGAAGGCCTCTACTAGTGGATCCCACAGCTGGTAAGGACCAGAAGCTGCACTTGTGAAAAAGGCTTTGTGGTCAAAAAGCACCATCAACACTGTGTCTACCACCACCTCAATCTTAGCAATGCACTCCTGGCAACTTGCTCCAAAGGCTGGTGTTGTCGTGGACACAGAAGCTGATGCAGGGTCACCATACAGTGGACACCGGGTCAGGCCAGCCACTTAGAACCTTAACCTCAGTGTGGTGCAGCATCAGAAATGTAATAAGAATAATTCCTTGCATTCCAATAGGGTCCTACGCACTGTCAGTGCTCAGGCCCTAATAGTATTATACAGTAGATCATGCATTAGTATATGTTGAGGTCAGAGCTTAGTATAGTTTTTTTTTTCAAAAAGAAAACTTTCCATTCATAAGATGTCTAAAAGCCTCAAATATTCTTCTACCCAGCTTAAAATAAATCAATAAATAAATCTGTCTGCTGAATGATAAAAAAGAAAGCTTTTAACTTGTTTCCCAAGTTGTGCCTGTTACTAAGTCACAAAATATAGCTGCCTTTTCTAGATTGTATCTATTTATTTACCATGAAGATGTAGATCGCTGATTTCCAGTACAAGGTTACATAGCTTGTCAAGATGGAACTTTTCACAGTCTCTTACAGCTCCATCACATGTGAACTTGTGCCCTTATACAGTGCCGTGAAAAAGTATTTGCCCCCTTCTCAAATTTTTATTTTTTTGCATATTTTCCCCACTTTAATGTTTAAGATCATCAAACAAATGTAAATATCAGACAAAGATAACCAAAGTAAACAAAAAATGCAGTTTTCAAATGATGGTTCAATGTTTTCAGGGAAAAAAGCTATCCCAACCTACCTGGCCCTGTGTGAAAAAGTAATTACCCCCTAAACCTAATAACTGCCTAATGTGTTTTGGATTGTTGTCCTGCTGCAGAACCCAAGGGCGCTTCAGCTTGAGGTCACAAACTGATGGCCGAACATTCTCCTTCAGGATTTTCTGGTAGAGAGCAGAATTTATGGTTCCATCAATCACAGCAAGTCATCCAGGTCCTAAAGCAGCCCCAGACCATCACACTATCACCACCATGTTTGACTGTTGGTATGCTGTTACTTTTACGACACACACCTTCCACAAAGTTAAACTTTTGTCTCGCCAGTCCATAGAATATTCTCCCAAAAGTTCTGCGGATCATTCCGATGTTTGTTTGCCAAAGTAAGACGAGCCTTTGTGTTCTTTTTGGTCAGCAGTGGTTTTTGCCTTGGACCTCTGTCATGGAGGCCGTTTTGCCCGGTTTCTTCTTTATTGTTGAGTCATGAACACTGACCTTAACTGAGGCAAGGGAGGCCTGCAGTTCTTTAGATGTTGTCCTGGTTTCTTTGTGACCTCCTGGATGAGTCGCCGCTGTGCTCTTGGGGTAATTTGGTAGGGCAGCCACTCCTGTGAAGGTTCACCACTGTTCCATGTTTTCTCCATTTGTGGACAATTGCTCTCACCGTGGTTCGCTGGAGTCCTCAAACTTTAGAAATGGCTTTGTAACCCTTTTCAGACTGATAGATGTCAGTTACTTTATTTCTCATCTGTTCTTGAATTTCTTTGGTTGCAGCTTTTTGAGATGTTTTGGCAGGCTTAATTTTGTCAGACAGGTTCTATTTAAGTGACTTCTTGATGGAATGGGTCTGGAGGTAATCAGGCTTGGGTGTGGTCAATGATGTGAAAATGTGATTAGCCACAATTAATTTATGATCTAACAAGGGGGGCAATTACTTTTTCACACAGGGCCAGGTAGGTTTAAATAGCTTTTTCCCAGAAAACATTAAACCATCATTTGAAAACTGCATTTTATGTTTACTTTGGTTATCTCTGTCTATTATTTAAATTTGTTTAATGGTCTTAAACATTTAAATGGGTGAAATATTCAAAAAAAAATAAGAATTTGAGAAGAGGGCAAATACTTTTTCATGGCACTGTACATATCTAATACACATCAGACCAAATCACATTCTGTTTTCATCAGGTCTTTATTACTTGCAGTTACAAAAACAAGAACAAAAACCACAAATCATCAAGCAAATTGGATGTAGCAGGGCCATCTAATGTGGCTCCATCTCAACAGTGCATGGTCTTCCTGGTCTTCTCTAATTGTTAGAAACAGGCCTAGCTCAGCTATTGTCAAAACTAAAGGCCACCTACTTTAGAAAAGAACAAAGGCAAAGTAAGGCAACATAGAGCTAGCAAGAAAGAAGCTGTTGATAGAGCAGAGTGGACAATGTTACACAGTAACTATCCTAAATTAATCACTTCCAAGGCGTCAGTCATGAACAGGTTCCTATGAGTACAGGTTGATATTAACACATCTGTAAGTTGGATTCTAGTCCTCCTCATTACTTTGGCTTCAAACATCCACATGTAAGTCAATGAGAAGTTAATAGTCAGTGCGCAATTGGCTGCCAATTAAAAACACAAACTAATGATGAATACTTACAATCTATCAAACTAGGTGGGTCCCCAGAAATTATTCATTAAATAAAAACAGAATGAAATGTTCACCCCTCAGTTTAAACCTGATATGTGATGCTTAACTCAAGATGATCTGTGCAAGTCAAATATATTGCTAGGAACTATGAGGATATAGACTGAGAGGATCCTCTGGATGAAAACACTGGTAAAAAGTTTCAAAAACAGAAGCGAGGTTAAACGGGTGTCCCTGTTGCTGTTCACAGTATATCCCTACAGTCTCCTCCTACAACAATCAGCATGTCTACAGTGACTTGCGCTGGCGCTTCATGAAAGACATGGAGTAATCCCCAGCTGGTGTGCTCTTCTGCCTCTTCATCTGGACCTGTGACTGGGCAGTGAGTTGCAGCTTAATGGCGCTGGAGTTTACCTTGGCTGCACACAGCAACTCCTTCATTCCCTTCATCTTCTCACTCTGAAAGATGACTACAGGGCCAGCTGGGGAGGGGGACGCTTGCTGCTGAGACGAGGGTGAAGATGCAGAGTCTGGGCTGGGGGACTTGGGTTTTCCTTCAATATCTCCTACCCTCAGGCCCTGGGAAGAACGGCGACGGACCCCTCCTTCTCCCACTTTCTTGGGCTGAGCAGCTGCTGGCAACTGGCTTGATGGGGAGGTGGGAGCAGCAGGAGGAGGAGAGCTCTGATCCTCTAATTTGGATTCTCTCCTGGGACCTCGCCTACGGCCCTCCCGGGTGTCCTCACTTGACTGGTCATCATCATCCTGAGACTCAAGCTCTTTGGTGATGATCGACACTTTCTGACGAATCTTTGGAAGCAGAGCAGAAATTTGTTTTTAGCTACAAACCACCACGTGTGAGCCAAATCTCCTGTGGAGATTTTGTACTGACTACCCTTATTTTGAAGTTCAGAGGCAGAGATTTTGTGGGGTCCTCACCTGAGCATCAAAGCGGCTCAGAGACTGGACTAGGTATGTGGCCCAGCCCACATGAAGAACCGGAGTGGGACTTCCCTCCTCCCACTTGCAGATACCATCATAAAATCGCAGAAGGTGGGCAAAGCATTCTGGGTCCTGGAGGGCTGAGAAGACAGCTGCCTGCTTGGGGTGTTCCTGAAAAAGAACAGAAGTACAAAGGGAAGGCAAGAATGTGAGAATGAGCTCCAAAGTGAAACATGATACATCGATACAAATTATACTTGAAGCTGATTTTTACTCACATTGTTATCAGAATGCCGCCCCACATGTGGCCAAATCAGTTACACCAATTTGACAAAATATAAATATATACAGGCTAAAAAGGGTGCCAAGGAGAGCAGCAGCACATACCTGTAGCTAACATTACAACAGCATATTAAGGAGCTTGTGGAGTGTAGCTCTACTGACATCATTCATTTTTTTTCCATTATCATATAACTTGGTCTGTATGTTGATTTCACTGTGTTCTATGAGATTGACAAAATCATTTTCTACATCTTCCCTTTTCAATGACAAGCTTGATGTCACACTGAGCTGGTAAAATGCAGGAGAAGAATAGAAGATCCTTAGAAAAATGACACATCCACTCTGGACTAGATTATAATTACTGACCAGAGTAGGTAATATTAAATCACCCTACATCACCTCCCGAAATAAACCCTGTCTAGATGGGGCTGTAGTTAATAGACTGATATCTTTCTCCCAACACAGTTCCTTCCCACTGTCTCCCGACTGCTTGCTCAGATGGAGTCCAAAGGTAACTTTAGTTTATGGGTTCTCTGTTCAAAATTCAACTATGTTAAGTGCTATGAGATGATATAAATTATGAGCTGTGTGGTATAAATAACATTGAATTGAATGGAACAGATAACATGTCCATAGATGGAGGGGTCTTGCTGTGTTAAAACCTCTCTGAGTACTCACCTTGTCAGCTCCTTCTCCTCCCTCTCCTCCCTCCCCAGGACTCTCTGCAGCAGCAGTAGTCTCCTTCAGCAAAGTGGGAATAACATCATTTGCAATGTCGAAGAACTCCTTGTAGATCTCCTCATCCTCACGGAAATAGTTATATCTGCAGGTGACAGGAGGAGGACTTTTAATACATCAGGGAGACAGCCAGGACACAGCCAGCAAGATATGAATTAAACACCTATTTTTAAAATCTACTAAAAGTCATTATACAGAGACAGTGTTAGGTTGAGATTAAAAGAGGGCCCTATGGGTGCTCAGAGAAAAAAAACGTAAATGCGGTCCTGTAACATGCTGCAGCTGTGTTAGAAGGCCCCACAGCAGGCCAGACGTGACAAAAAGTGAACTCTGCCGCAAAGCCGACAAAGAATCCACTGTTATGAACACAGGCACACATTTCCCAATGATGGTGCACTGAGGGCGAGCTGAAATTGAAGAACAATGGGCAAGCAGGAAAGGGAAGCTGACAGATGAGAGGGAATGTGTGTGGTGGGTCAGTGCTGGTATTTATAGCTACAGCTCACGAACAGTGTGTTTGAAGGGGAGGAGAAAGGGTTAGGATGCAGAGCTGGACATTTCCTGGATAAGTCACCACACCCTTTCAGACTAACTGCAACAGGACTTCTCTGTGTTGGCTGCGTTGTTATAAAGAAAAAAAAAACTGAGCGAAAAAACTCAACTAGAGTTGACACTTAGCTTCCACATGACTTTAATAGATATTTTGGGGATAAGAGGGCTGCTCAATGCACTTAATGATTTTGATGTGGTCACAACTCAACTCTAGAAAGATAGCTGTGCATTTAGTGCCATCTTGTGTTCATCTGGTGAAATAACAACTGAAGCTGCTCGCTGAGGTTCTGCTGTTGAATGTTACACCTGTGTTTTTAACACAGAGGAAGAGGGGTAACTCTAGTAGTTTCCTCTGGTTTGAGTTACCTCCATTTGTGAAACAGAAAACTCAGAGTTTTCCTCATTTCAGTTTTCACGAAACCTGCTCTGTGAAATGTTCACACAGGCAGAGTTTGGGAATGGTGACTGGATTCACTGAGGAGAGTCGGTCTGTTGTCATAGAGACCAGTATAAACAGGCAATGTGACTAAAACTTATTGTCATTAGTCATCAATGCAGAAAAAGTAGAGCTGTAATTTTTAACAGTATAAATGAAGGCCTTCGATTAAGATTTAGGTTCACTATTGTCACTGTACAGACTATAACAAAATCCAGTCTTTATGTTTGTAGCGACAGGTACTTCAGCCCTAAAATGAAAGCATTTCATTGAGATGAGCTGCTTCTCGAGGCAGTCCCTCATACTGCAGGTTTGTTTACTGTTGTGGCTGTCATATGTTACTGGTCAAGTAACAGCATTTTAATCATCCTGAAATTAGATCAGTGTCTAAAACCTCTAAAAAATTAAGAATATTTTGTGCATTTTGAATCTAATTTTGAAAAAGAATGTGATCAACAATACATACAAAACTCCCTTTCCGTGTGTAAAAGCAGTGTGAACTTACTCTTGCATGACCTGAGCTGCCTCGGCCCAGGCTCTCAGAGCCTCCCGCACATCCCTGTGTCTGTAGTGGAAACCAGCGAGGTACATGTAGGGGTAGATGTGCTCATTGTTATAGTGCCTCTGAGCAGAGGTGACAGCCTGAGAGAGAGACAAAGAGAGCACAGAAAAAATAAATGACTCAAGCCTCCTGATCTGTATAGATGTACAATAGAGCCAAGCTGATATATTGGAGGTCAATTTAAGCTAATTGCAGATAAATTGTTACCAGCATTTAGAACAGCTATGCAATGCTAATGCTGGCTTGTTTAGACTCAAAAAGGTAATAGTTGATAGCATGAGTTTGATTGTGTCAGTAGGCTGTGCTCACTACTATTCAGTCTGAAAAAAATACAACAGGGTGTGTGTTAGAACATTGTGTTTTAAGTACATTTTTTTGGAGTTCATGTAGATTTTATACATTCATTTGTTCTTTTGTTTTTTTTTTTTGTACTAAGAAATGTCAATGGTATTGGTCAATGGTAAGTTCCTGGTATTGTGACATCCCTAGAAAAAAAAATCGAAGTGACAGGGAGCCAAAGAAAGACACTAGAGCTATTTAATTACCCGTATCTGGTAACCAGAGCACTGTGACATTGCAGTACACTAAATCTTGAGTTCACTGAAAGTATTTAAACCCAGCAGATCGCTGCAGAACAGAACTCATTCTGTGTTCCAAATCACATACCTTTTTCTTCTTCCTTTCAGCATATACTGCAGTTGATCTGAAGTATGTACTGTTGCATGAGGCATGCATACATTTGGGACATATAGGTTTGTCCTAATACTGTGTCTTAAACTCTGACTGTCTTGCTAGTATGTCAGTCTCAATCTGCAGTGCAAAATGAGCTGTCATCTGTCTGTTCGGTTTCAGACACTCACAGTGGTTTATACCGTTACAGACACTGTGACGTATGTGAAGCATCTTCCACTGAGCAGAGAATTGTGGGTCAGAATGACCAAAAAAGGCATGCTGGCTTCATACTGCGAAATGAGAACAGATATAGGACATTCTGGTATTTTCGGCATACTGCATTTGACACGTTATGTATGAGGACACACTAAGTTTGTTTCTGGCATATTATATAGTAGGACAGCATGGGTGCTGCATTCATGCATAGATTACTGCCTTTGCCAGTGTTATACTATGTGAATAGTTAAAAAAAATGTAAAGTTTTGTTACAATTCAAAATAACCCCAATCATTCTAGAGTGATAACTTCTTTGCAAATAAAGTTTGCCAAGTCATCTAGTGAAAATTCCCTCCTTTTTTTGTATCGTACAAAAACAAAATACCACATTGTCATTTTTTTCCCCAATACCATGCAGTCCTAGGATAATGATAACCAGAGAATTGGAAACACATTTTATTTTGACCAAAGATAATATACCTGTAGTTCAAACTGAGACAGTGTATTTTCAGAATGAACACTAACCCCCTTAGCTTATATCACCTTTCAAAAAGCTACCAACAACTGGTAATATTAGAGGGATTACTTAACCAGCATAAAAACTAGAAAAAAAAAACATCCTTAAACTGAGTCAACTCTGTCTCTGTACAAGTTTACTGCATCATTACTGACAGTAGGTTTTTGGAAAAGTGATATAATAGTTGGTTGGAAAAAGCTTTCCTGTTCAACATTGTAGAAAATGTCAGAGCTGGCAAAACATTCCTTACTGCTGTGTGACTCATAGTAAACCTCTAGAACACCTTACCTTAAGGTGAATTTTCAGGGGGCTCTCTTTTCCTGGGATTGGATCCTGGTCCTCAAGGTCTGCTAGAGTGCCCATGGCCATAGGATATCTGGTGCAGGAAGAGGGATATTATCTTCAACAAGAAAACCTGAGTTCTTTGCAGCGGACAGGTGATGTGCACCGAGTATTTACTAACTTCACCAACACAGACACTCACCTGTCGAGGTCACCTCGCTCGTACAGCAACCAGAGGAGTTTCTATTGAACCAGGAAGAACATAAAAAGATTGGTATATATAAGAGAAGACAGATCATAAAAAGCATTAAATAGAGAAGAAGAGCCTTTATCATTAAGAGCTGTGCATTCCCATGGAAGACTTAATCACGGAAATGTTATGATTAATGTAAATTACCATATATTGATGAGTTTTTACGTGCATTAGATGCAAAGAAAAACAGTCCTTTATTTCTCATATCACTTTTTAATAAGAGTTTACCACATTTAAACCACTAATGCTTATTGCTTTTTTTGTTTGCTTGTAATAGACATTCAGCACACACTCAACACTTAGTGTGTACGTATATAGCCCTTTTTAGACAATGGAATGCATAACAATTCTTCAACAAACTGCAAAAGTGATAGTTTTTGCAGACAATGGTCACTTTATTCTAATGCACCGATATGTGTCATATGTCCGAAAGTGGCATATCAAGCATGAGGCAGAGCTCCAGACTAACTTTTTCACTCGTTGCACCTCCCACCTGGTCACAGGAGAAACAACTCACACACTGAACATTTGCTTATCAATGAACTCCACATTTACAGATGTTGCAGGCTGTGGTAGATGTGATTTTATCCACATGTGCAGCTTACTATGAGCAGAGAAAACGGCACATGTAAGTGCACTATACACAGAGCGCATTTTAAAATGTAAAGACCATAGTTGCTCGCTTTCATATAGAGGTTAGTGATTGATAACTATTTAATTTTGCAGCCCTACCACTGCGTCTCAGTATGTTCTTGCCTGCACCTGCATTCTGATCATCAGGTGTCTGAGTCAGACCTTTAACTCTGTTGGTTGAGGAACGCACATCAGCTCAATAGCTTGTTTTACACATCAGGCACAAACAGACTGACAGAGCTATGTAAGAAATAAAAGTTATACTTTCTACCACTATGACTAATGCAGTAGCTGTCTGTGCTGGTTAAAGCGACAACATAACAGCTAAATGATCATCGTTCACTGGCACAAATGCGACCACTTGAAATTTTAACTCGCACGCTCTCATAAAAGGTCGCATATGTGACCATTTTGGTTGCAGTCTGGAGCCCTGTGAGGTTAGAATATTTTTAGCACCACATGCTGAATGAACTTGAGTGTGTTCCAGGAGAAACTTTTCCTCATGTTATTGCTTTGTTAGGGCATTCTCCAAAACAATCATGTTGTGTAGTGAGCTGGACTTTTCACACTAGAGACATGTACAGACATATCTACGTCAGTAACTACATTATTATGTCTGCCTATACATTATTGCGGTTGCATGCAGTACAGACTTGTGCCGAGCTGAAAGCGTCAGGGAAATGTTATGAGATCCAACATTAGTAAGATTACTGTTGAACAGGCTGCTCATTCAGCAATGAAGCAGATGTTTTCAGATGCTCTCAGATTAATGTAAAAGGAGTGCATGCCTGAGAGGGCCTCATGATGTCTTAAATTCACTATAATGTATAATTTTCACCACATCATCATCATCCATCAGTACGCCTGTCACTGCTGAGAACGGTTCCTAATGTGTTGCAGGTCATTAGAAAAACAGATATGTAACAGTTTACTAAACTCCACAAGTGGTGGTACTCACCTGTTGTAGCTGCAGGAGCTCAGAGCTGTCGGTGTGCAGGTCCAGTGAAGGGTTGATGGCACAGACCATGAAGGCCACCTCCATGTTTCTATCACATTTCATGTAGGAGCCCTTTAGATACAGCCAGCTCTGGGGGAGACACATTAATAATATCATGCTGTTCACTTTGTATGACTGTCACTTTTTTGTGGAATCTCAAGTGGGAATACTACCTCTCTATTACACAGTGAACAGTGAATTCAATCTCGCAAATCAAAACCCCCAGTTGATTTTTTCCCTAAATTGTTCAGTCCTACTCCCTATTAAGCACAAACACATGACCACCAGAAATAAAGCTGCACCTGTTTAACACATACGAAACAAAAAATACACATTAAGATACATTGTACTAACTAGCTGTGGGAACAGGAGGTCTGCTTAACTTGAGTGACAGATGATTTACTTCAAATCAACTGCTAGATTAACAATTTGGTATATTTTGCTTGATATTTAAATAAAAATAATCACCATTACAGCTATACAGTCAAAAATTAAAATTACTGAGACCAAAACATATAAAGCTAATTCAAATTATTCATTTCAAATTCATTTAAACTGGCACGTAGCTGAATGTGCTCAGTGGTACCATATTACAAAAACTCCAAGTAAAAGCAGAAATGCATGTCTTTATGAATTATGGTTGAAAATATAACTATTACTATATGGCTGACAGTACAGTTGAGGTTTGTGGGATTCATGATTCAAAATGTATCCACATTTTCAAGCACAAGAAGGATCTGATTATTAGATAGATAAGTGTAAATGCACAGTTGCTAAATGAGGCGCCTGGTCAGTTCCACATCCACACTTAATTACATAGGCAGGACTTACCTTCTCATTGACTCCTGCTGTGACTGTTTGTCCTCGTCGGTCCTCGTTACCCTTCCCATGCCAGGTGACCTCTGCCGTCTCCTCGCCATTTTTGCTAAATATAACCCAGGCATGGTCTTCAGACAGTGCCAGGTGAACATCCTTCAGACCTAAGACTTGACATGCTGCAACCACAGCAAAAGCCACCCCAGAGCTGTCCAGTTTGGTACCTGGTTCAAATTTAATAAACAATGACTTTTATTAGCTTAACAGCTCTAACATCAATTAAAGTCACTCACCCAACAACTCTCACTACGCTCACCTAACAAACATGATATAAACTACTTTTAGCACTGTACTTGAAAGATTGTACCTGTGATGAGACTGAAGAGTGATTGGATGTGGGCCCTGTCCTTGAAGTAAGAGCGACTGAGGCTGTTCCAGATCACATCAGACACTTTTTTCACCAGCTCTCTGCTGGATCCAGCAGCAGTCCTCCGGTACTGAGAAAGATCCACCGCCCCACGGATTTGGGCCGTGAAGCGCTCATACAGAGCAGAAATCATGCCCAACTCCACGGTGGGAAAGCAGGAGGTGGGACAGTCTGGCTCTAGTGGCTCAAACCGGACCCCTGGAACGTTTATGGGGATGACCCGGTTCACAGCCAGAAAGTGCTCCACAAACCCCAGGACCAGTGAGAGAAGAGCGAGGTCTGGCTCCGACTTGCGGAGCTCAGCATCAAACAGCTGAACCACACCGTCAATCCCCCGCAGGGGAAAGTGCTTCTTCTGGGCTGAGTGCAAACCCATGATGTCTGCCGTCACTCACAACTCAGATATATGGGTGTCTCCTCGCCTGCTGTACTGATTGTAAAAGAGCAGTTAGTTCAACTCTACAACAATATTACACAGTGATGCTGCAGAAAATTGGCAAAATTTAAAGTTTTATTTTAATTAAAGCTCAGCAATTACCTAAAACAGTCTGTGATCTTTCTTTTCTTTCTTTCTTTCTTTGTGTTTTTTAAACAAACTTTACTCAAACTGGAGAAAATTTGAATTTGCTGAGGACTGTTTTAATTGGCAGATTAATTCACATTTGGGACTCTCGTGAGTATTGAAGGCAACAGAATGGTGTAAGTTAAAAATAAATTACAGAGTGTTACCAATATTGAAGGAAAATGTGACATTGCCAGATTAATTAAATCTTGCATACATTTTTTTTTAAAAACTTTGTCCCTTTGCATAACTTTTTCTGTCATCAGAAAAAGGTGGACATACAAAGTGCTGGAAAGAAAATGAAAAAAAAATAAATTAAAGTTTGACTTTGGCTGCACTGACTTCCTAGTGAGAGGTCTGAATTTTGAACAAAGTAAATCTAAACTATTATTTTTTTTATTTGTTCAACTTAGTAATAATGCAAATGGTGTAAGATAATACATTTTCAAATAATTTTGCTTTCAACTGATAATGCATCGGGGTGTACCCACTTCAGTTGTGCATTGTAAGTTACACAAGTGTACCCTTTCCCGACAAGCAATCCATAATGCCTTTACTGAGCTTAGTGTACTGTCCCTGGTATGGTCCCGTATCGGCAAAAAAACACTACAGTTTAAAAATCTCGTCAATCATTATTTCACAAGTGTTATTACGACTATCGTACGCTAAACATATCAAACATAAACCATGACCCGGCCATTGCATAATGTCGGTTACATCAATGCCGCTAACATGGGTTATATGGCGCTTAGGTGGGCGGGGCACTCCCACTGCTACATACGTAGATTAAATACAAACCTGCAAATAGAGCTTTTAGAGTTTCGTAACATCAACAACTAAGCGGGATTGTCTCCACAACATCCCAAATGCTCAGAACCTTTCAGTACCGGCAGAAATATTCACATATTCATTTGAGAGACCAGTTGGCTAATGTAGGCTAACCGGCTAACTTTACAAAATTAAGTTAGCTACACACGTGAGCGTTCTTTCGGTTTTAGTGTGCTGAATGGATACTATGCTGATGGATAAGTAAGACAAAGCACAGAAGCAACACGAACTAGAAGGTGATCCCCATACCGAGACAAACAGCTTGCGAACAGCAGGCTGAATGACGACTGTTATCAGAACCAGCTAACAAGCTAACAAGCTGCTAGTTAGCTAAACCCACCACTTTTAAACAACGTAAATCGCCCTCGCACTTTAGAAAAGGTTATCACCGCAATACAGACTAATTCTAAACTCTTAACAACTCACAGTTTGATCGGTGTGTAAGACATTACATACCCGTTTTCTCACAGCCTCAGCCACATGTTTTTGTTTGTGTCCCCCTTCTTTTGCCGCGCAGTTCAGTCTGCTCGAAAGTCAATTGGAGTGTGTTACTACGCTCAACGTTTGCGCGCCACAGTAGATCTGCTAACTACACGTACGTCGCTGTTCGACGCAAATGTACGCCGGCAGGCCCATCCTTGTAGTTACAGAACTTTAACCCTGCGCACACCGGAGCCTCTCATGTATGACGGGAAATGTAGTTCATATTACATTATTTGCACACCTCCCCCAATAGAGGGCAGCATGATGCCGTAATATGATATATTGCTACAAAATGGAACAAAGATAAACATTACATAATGGAAAACGTGCTACAATAAAGCACATATACCCTTTAGAGTTACATAAAACTGCGCTGAAGTTGCTGCATTTTCATCAATAATAAATCTGACCAATGTGGCGATGGCTGGCTGTGTTACAAACAGCTCAAACACGCATCTGTTTGTGCGTTACAAATGTATTTAATATTTTTGATTAAATATAAGTTCATACAACGCAGCCTATTCGTGATATAAGAACTAACGCAGCCTACTTGTGATATAACATCTAATGGCCGAAATACAAAATCCCATTTTTTTTCAGAGCAGGTATGACATGGTGTCTGTGTTCAGGAATATTCCTCGTGCTGCCTTTCATTGCTGTCGAATTTTTCTACAGCGTTCATGAACGTCGTAAGAACATGCCAAAAATCTAGCTAGCAGTGTGGAGTTTTGCTGATATAAGAGGTGCTAGAATATACGTTTCAAAGGTAAAGAGCGCAGAGGACCGATTAACGAATAGGGTAGTTATAGTAATTTGCTGCTTTATGTATATATATTGAACGCAGACACAAGTCCTGTCTGACAGATTCAAGATAGAGGAGCCTAAACGGGGACTTTGAACGTCTCTCACCCCGACATGTTTTTTTTTTTCTTTCTTTACCCCTCCTCCACAATCCGTCTTGTTTCCCTCCATCTCTGCTCCTCTTTCAGTGCTCGGACGGTGCGTTAAGGTGCGGAACCGAGTCCCGCTCTTGGGGAAAATTAAGGAAAGTCAGACGACATTTACACCTTAAGAAGGACAGTATAAGCCAATTTCAGCTGAGACGACCGACATTTAACCGCCTTTGTGCAGTTGTTTTAAACCTAAAGTAAAATGGATCCAATGACTCAGTCCGCCCAGATATCATCGTCGCAAGGGTTTGCCGATGGACAAAATTCTGCTGCCAAAGAATCAAAGTTATCCGGTAAGAAATACCTGACGGTTACGTAGCTGTTTTTTGACGTTTGCGTATTGCTTCACCACGAATATCTATTAAATCCCATGCGCTCTGTTTTTATTTTAGAGGCATGTAGTAATGATTGCATAGGTTAATAACGTCAAGTCTGTAACGCCATAATTCAACTTAACGTTAGAACTGCAGCTGTTGCAATACCAATCGCCTTCTTTCATTTTGTTTCCTGCCTTGTGCGAGGTTGTCTAAACTGGCTTTAGCTACTATGGGAAACACCTGTGATAGTGAATGTATCCTGACACACGGCTACGAGTTATACCCCATGTAGCTCTAGCTTGCCTCTGATACCCATTGTCGTCTTGTATGCCGTTAATACAAGCAAGACGTCTTTTATGAGCATGTCGGCTTTATGTCGCCATGCTAATAAATAGAAGCACAAAACGGAGGCAGATCATAAGACTAGACATTTTACTAAACTGTACATTTGTCATGCCGAATTGTCCACTTAACAGCCAAACACGGAATTGTGAGTTGGCAGAGCGTGTTAATCAGAGTTGTCAAAATGTTGAAAGGGGCTAATTTTGTGATTAGCGGGGTAATTTGAAACGGAAAGCGAAATGGTATCAATATACGTGGAGCTCGGTACATTTGATGTTGCTGAATTGAAATGTGTTTCCTATTGCCTCATGTTATTGTCTTACGTCATATTCTACAACGTGGGTATGTTTGTTGATAAGTAAAGAAACATTACATGGCACTTTTCATATCAACGTTTGCGTTGGCAAAACGTTGTCGGTGCAAGATGTTGCGATGTTCTGCACTGCAGATACATTGTTACTGGGCAACTGCCAATGAAGGGAGGACCTCTTAAAGGCGCATTGCCCTTTTCATGTCAGTGTCTTGATAATGGAAACCAGAACAAAACATCAAGCCGTAAGAGCTTCAGTAAAATCCTTTATTTCTTAATTTATAGACGCCATTTTTTTTGCCAGATTAGATGTCTCATTAGTTTTTCCAGGTAACAGCGTCTAGGGGAACCTAATTACAACAAAGGAACGGTGTTTTCTTCCAGGGCCTTATTGACAGATTGTTGTGTATGAGGGAGTGGCAACCTCGCCATCACTAACTGTGTGTATGTTTGTGTGTTAAGCTGATCTGATTTCAGTTCCACGTCTCAATCAGCCACCTTACATGTGAGCATTGTGAAAATCCTTCAAGGCCATGTACTGCTGATTAAAAGGATTGGAGGCTTTGAAGAATTGCAGCACATGTGATGAAGGGTGGCAACTGAATATGGCAGGGTGTGGCACATGATGCCTCACGGAGTTTTAGTTTGTTCTTGGAGTGGATAACCCTAAATGAGAAAAAAGCAAAAACGTGAGAAGTTAATATGGTTGCAAAAGTAAATCACATTAGAGATGTTTTAGTAGCAAAAATCTCTCAATGCTTTAATGCAATCCATAATATGGTTAAAAAAAACAAACACAACCTTACCAACACCTGTGACCAAATTATAATCTGTTAGATTTATAATCTAACATATTTGTCAGCAGTTATGGATGGTTCTAGAAAATTAGAAGCCATGAACAAGTTTGGCTTTTGTGTTCAGGGAGTTTTGTATAACCTGTTTTTTCCACTAAGTGTTAAGTTTGTGTGTGTGTTTTTTAATTTCAGTAAATATAAGTGCCTGTAGCATGCATAGTTTAGTGGTAGTTTGCTTCTGTAAAAGATTTTTTTCTTCCAGAACTATTTTTCTAAAGCAGACTCGAGAAGGCATGGCTATAAGAATGTTTTTTCAGCAGCTCTGGCAAAACACAATAATCATCACTGTGAGTGATTACAGCACTGCTAAGTCACCTTTAAATATGGGCTTTGGGCCCAACTCTGGATTCACATCATATGGACAGACTGTTAAATGTATGTTTGCAATATACATCACTTTTGCAGCACTAAATTAATATTTTTCTTTCTTTCTTTCTTTCTTTCTTTCTTTCTTTCTTTCTTTCTTTCTTAATATTAATGGCATAGAGTTAACATTTGGCTATTTGATAACCAGTTCATGTCTGTATTCTGTCACAGCAGCTATTCTTAGGACATAACTGCAGTAAATTTTGTAATATATTGAAACAATTACAAACATGAGTGGTCCAGCTTGGCAAAATATAAAAATACCATTAATTGAAATTTTAACCTTTATTTACTATACCTGCAGAATCAGCCAGTCATTTGTTGTTCATATCAGAGACATGTCTTTAAGTCTTATTTTCCCTGTTTTAAAGGTATCTAGTCATAATTCGTAAGAAACTTCCCGTTGGCTTTTACAAATTTAAGTGAAATCTCCATATTCACAGCACTAATTCCATTAGCACACAGAAATGATTTATCCTCACCATTTTTTAAAGTCACTACTGCTCTACTTTTCTTTCTCCTTAAAGTTCTGAGAAAGTAAAACATTTCTTGGCTTAAACGGCATTCTTCTCATCCTTGTTGGGCTTTTGGATTCAAATATCTACAGGACATGCTGATTTGCATTCATGATAATGTAGCATTGATCAGACATTGATCTCACTGACCCCGTCCCAGATCATGCACGCAGCATGCTTTCATGTATACCCCAAGTGACAGGCACACAGAGAGGACTGTTTTTTAAAATATATATACACACACATATACACATATACTTCAATGTATTTTTGTAAATGTTACTTTTATATTCGTAGGTTGCAACCAGTTGCAGTATTTGTTGACACTTTTTTAAAAAAGAAAGACACAACCATTGTCTGTTCAATAAGCCAGTATTTAATTTAAAAAAAAAAAAAGTTTCATGTTTCGTCTATTAGGTTTCGCTGTAGTGAAAACCTACCAGACTAAGACATCAACATCAAGGTACATACTGAACTGTGATTTTTGATGGCTTCTTTAAACTTAACTTGTGAAGAAAGTTCACTTGCCACAAAATGTATCACCTTTTTAAATGCACATTTGAGGGCCTAATGTAATTATATTATCCATGACATTTGCTAACCTGTAGCTCTTTGAATCCATTGAATAAGGCATGGTACAGATGCAATGCCAAATTGGATGTGTTGGCTTTCTTGGTTTGTGTTGGTCTGTCTTTTACAGACAGGCTTTTTGGTGTCTGTGACTTTATCATGACTGTCAGCTATAAGTTAAACATTGCCATATTTTGCTTTGTGCATCTGCTTTTTGGGTAGTTTGTGGACAGTTGGCAAGAGCACTTGTTTTTGCAGCCATGTCTCTCATTTTGTTACCACAAAAGCTTCAGTTGGCACACCCACTATGCCTGCAGGGAGTGGAAGCAGCGCCCTGCACAAAACCAATACACACCCACTACTCTGCTGTCACACATTGACACAAATCTCAGGAAGTACAGCTTCTACCTTAAACATTCTTTTTCACACACTAATAAAATGGGGAATTGTATTGTTTTTGACAGCAGGGTATTGCAGTAGCTTTCTAGTATCAATATGCTGTGTAACATTATTTGGCATGACCACTCGCTTTGTTGGATAGCCTACGTAAATATGTGCTATTAGGATTATTAGCAAAATTACATTCTTCTTGTGTACTTGCTGTTTTTTTTCAGCACATTGACAATCATTACCACTTACTCCAGTGTCACTGCGTCTCAATTCGATCGTAAAATTCATATTTTGAATGCTGATTATTACTTTTTTTTAAAAATTGTTATGTAGAACAGTTTTTAAAAAGGTAGTATTCCCACTGTTCCACAATTTATGATGCCCCCAAGAATAGATACCTAAATAATTAAATTCATAACATAAGCTTGTTGACTAATGGCCTAAACTGATAACTACTTACTGACTTGGACAATCTTTGGTCAGGGGCAGCCTTAGGCCATATGTGTGCATACACTGTATAAATGTATGAATGTCCCTGAAATATTGCTGCATTACTGGATTGCTGTTTTTCTGTTCAAGACATCGTTGCTTTGGTTTTATTAGTATTGGTGAACCCATGCTGTAGTAATATTTTTACGAGTAATCTCCACTAGGTTTATCTTTAAGTTCGTGGATGTCACAAATACCAGATGGCCTGACCTTTGCCTTTCCAACTTCTGTCTGTAGCTGAGCCAATTTCACTTGACTTGCACGCTGATGACTGACAGTAGTCACTAAGGAAGTGGCACACTTCGAAACGAGGACCTAATTTCTCTAACTACATTGCATCAGCTTTTCAGGGGAAGTTAGCCTTGAAATCCATCAGTATATTGCTGCATTGCATACAGTCTCACAATCAGAAACCATTTAAATATCGTTAAGAGAAATATTTTTCACTTAATAACAGATTGTGCTCACACTCAAACACATAAGCAGTAGTCCCAAGCTCTACATTTTGATAACTGTGGCGCTCTGTTCAGTGTTTCAGCTGTCTGTGCACTCATATTTCTTCATTGGCATGGTCTATTATGAGCAGACTAACCTTTGCTGAAGGCATCAAACGCCACTTTTCAATCTGCACTTTTACCTTTCTGACTGTGTATACTGAAGGAAAAATGGGGCTTACTACTCTTTCCCTGTGCTATTATTTGGTATAATTTTGTGAACACAATTCCAGTAACTTGTTAGCAGTATACTAAAGTTCTAACTTGCAATCAATTTTGTAACCATTCATTATCATTTTGTTGTTCAATGAGGCTGTGTTTTAGTGATTTAGTTACGTTGATCGACATGATCGGTGTTAACTGTAAAGCAGTTAAATGTGAAGCACACAAGAAAAGCATCCAAGAACATGCAGTTCTTTCAGCCTCCCCCTTCTCTCTCTCTACTCATGTTGCCAAGCTGACCCTCCTCCCTCCGCTCGCTGCTGGAGCAAACCGTACCACTGAGGTTACAGAGGCAATCAGATGGCCCTGAGGGGTAGACAGTACAGGGTAGCTAGAGCACCAGGGCAGGAATTGCAGGCATGGCAGTAGCCACCCTGCACAGTCGCTTAGACACAGGGGTATGAAGGCTAAGTCTGCCAAGACCATGCTGACTTTTTTTTACTCGTGCCTGCCAATGACAGATTTACCTTATGTGTGGTGTTGAAGTGCATGCTGCAACTGGTTGAAGGCAGTATAAGCCTTGCCCCAACACGTCCTTTTTCAAAAACGATAATTTCCACCATTAGCCATTGGTTGAAGCTACACTAATGAATATTTTCTACATTAAATGAATCTAGTGACTTACAATGAATGAAAGAAGTAACCAGGAGTGACAGACCCATATATATTTTACCAACTCTGCGTTTCCCCTCTGCTCTACTGACTGACTGTTTAGCAGGTGTTTTTAGCTCAAAAGCAGGGATGCACAATAATGTTGGCTTCATCATTGGATTTGATCAATGGAGGTTTCAAATGAAATATCGGCATTGGTCCAAAATGAACATTGACAAACATGTGTCTTAACGTGTGTATGATGATGTGTTTTTGTTTTATATCCACAGCTTCCTATAAGATTCCAACAGACAGCAGTGCATTACCCGAAAAACTTTGTTGTAAAATTGCTTACAACATTATTTCAACCCAACTTGATATGTGCAGATTTGTTAATGCTGATGTTGTTCATTTTGATGTGCATAAGGATGTGATTCATGTTATTTAATTTCATATTTCAAGGTCATTGAGTGGTTAGTATTTGCTTTCAGCCTTCTTAACCACCCTCACCAGTTAAACTCAGACAAATGTGGACACACAAGATTTAGAGCTTGTACTAAGATTACAAAGTGAAGGTGTGGTGTGTTGAGATGGTAACACTAGTATGAATCTGAGAGAAGGAATGTCGCACCACAAGCACACACTAACACCAACCTGCCCATCCAGTACAAACTTCAGCTGAGCTGAACTGAAGGGAAACACCACACCTCACCTTTACACATCATCAGTCGTTTCCCATGACTCAAGGTATTTCTCTCCTGACATTCCCAACCTGTCTGATGACAAAAAAGAATGAGGTGTGAGCTTTGAATGTTTTGTTTCCATGTCACAGGTTGTGTTTAGAATGCAAGATATAATGTCTTCAGACTTATTTCACAATGTTCAGACCAAGTTACTCCTTTCAAGAGTATGTGGACCCAAAACTTGCAAAGTATGCCCCTCTGTTTCAGGAACATTTGGAACCTCACTGTACAGGTATACTCCCATTCCGATGCAACAACTTGAGAGCAGGCCTGACTCACAGTCTGTGCCCCAGGTTACCCCAAAGGTGTTAGATATGTAGAAGTCACAACTCTCTGCAGCCCTGCCAAGTTTTTGCACACTAATCTGGGAAAACGTATTTCTTAATGGAGCTGCCTTGAGCTTTGATTGTCGTGTTGAAACACAAAAGACAACACAAAGTTGGATACATTGCGCATACATTATTAAGTTTTTATCCAGACTTGCTAAAATTTGCAGTAGATTGCTAGGGGTCGCAGAATCTCAGGAATAGTACCAACTAGTGATGAGAAACCAATGCAGGAGGCAAAAAAATCTCACAAGCCAATTGTCAGGTTTATACATTTCAAGATTTACAAGGGCTTCGACTAACTAGTTTTGCAGCATCTGGCATTAAGCACAGTTTGATGTTTAATAACTTTCTTGTAGCAAACAGTGCACATGCCTTCGTAGTAATGTTGGCTAGCTCATCCGAATTATCAGATCTGAATGCCAACTATTTCGAGGCAGAGTCCTGTATCCCCGCCCTGGTTTGTCATCTGTCTCAGCTCAGTTATCTGCCTCTTCCTCCAGCTTTCTGTATCTTTACTAAGCTGTAGTCGTACTTGTTGTGGACTCAGTGCATCATGTCACTAAAGTGTGTCTGTCAATTGAACAGAAAAAGGACTGCATTTTTTTGACAGTTTTGAGGATCATACATTTAGGATAGACTAAATATGTTAGGACCACGATACGACACAAACCTAATGGAAATCTACTTTCCGGTTTGTTTCATGTATTAGATTGAAAAGGCTTACAGTCTCCTCATCATCCCAAACAGATGAGATGTTTTCATCTGCTACTTCTTTTCATCTCTTCAGTGGAGGCTTGAATGGCCAATCAGTCTCATGCTATATGTATGTCATGATTTATTTTCTTTTATTGGTATGTGGCACATCCAACAGAAGCATAAAACTTCTTATGCAATATTTCACCTTTCTTTTGTTTTTCCTTTAATTTCCACTTAGGTTTTAATATGTTTAAATCGGAAAATCCCATTAAAACGAGAAGCTGCATATACCTATTGTGTGCTGCAGATTGAAGATTTACCTCATGCAATTAAAGGGCCTAAACCTTTAAAACAACACCCCAGAACCAAGAAGTATGTGGACAAGGGTATTGGACTGGGCTGTCTACTGCCTCTGGCACTTGTGGCAGTAGTGAGTGAGCATTTATGTGAAAGCTTTGTATGGTGCTGGTTTCTAGAATACCAACACAGACAGTACTCGGTGAAGTACTGAAGAAGAAGTGGTGATCTTTTGGTTGTAGTCAATTTGTGGAAAGCACTTCAGTATGTTTGTAGAAGCAACTGAAGCAGTACTTTTGTCTGCTTCTTAAGTAAATGGTTTTGGTTTTGCCTGTATAGCAAATGTAAGTGCATGTGTTAAAGTTATTGTAGGTTTATTGAAGTAAACGATGAAAGCAAATGCATGGGCCATCACTGTTAACATTTGTATTTTCTGGTCTTTATTTGACGTAGTTCTTGTATAGCATGTAGAGTTGTTAAGGGTGGATAAGTAAACTCTTGTTTGCTCTTGATTTGAATGCCTTTATTCAAATGGGTGCAGTGGATAGGAGTTATTTTTTTCTTCTAGGATGATCATTGTTCTGTCCTTTTTATTTTTTCAGATTCCTTTCTTTCCTCTTCGCCTGTATCTCTCATTCAGTCTCCTCAAGGCAAGTGTATGGTTCTCTTACGCTGCTCGCCTGCTCTCTCCCTCTGTCCTGTACTCTCTCGCTGGCCTGCTGCTGTACTGCTCTACTTCATTCCTTTTTCTAGTGCCCCTCTCCTGCTCGTCAGAGTCCAAGAAAAATAGAGCGATCCTGCAAAAAAAAATAAATAAAAGAAACTCCAGTGATCTCCTGTCCTAACCTCAGCTCCTTCTATACCTCGACCAGTCTTTACCCACCCCTCCTCCTACAAACCTCGTCACGATATCCCATCTGTTTGACACTGCTGACCCTCAGTTACTACATTAATTGTAAGTTTGCCTGGCAGCAGAGCGCCTCCTGTTTTCAGTGACATATGGCACTGGTAATTTTCTTCGCCACCCCCAATCTCTGCTGCAACGTGAGATGAAGCCTTTCTAGCTCATGCCCTAAACAGCCATTTTGACCTATTGACAGGTTTTTGTGTAAGTTTATTGTGAGGGCAGCAGGAAGTGTATCTATTCATAGCCATAGCCTGAGCAGCAGAAGCTCTACATCAGAGATTATACAGCTATTTGCATGTTGTACAGTTTGAATAGCATGCCTTCAGTGCATTGAAGTGATCAAACAAATTGGCATTAACACCAGCAATCAGTAGCTCAAAACACATTTAGCCTACGTCTAATTCACTGCTAGTTTTTCTTACTGTATCTCCACAGACTTGACAGACACAAAGAATTACACTTATAAAACCTTGCCTCTGCAGCTGGTAGCAATCTAGTCCATTTTGGTCTTTTTACTGCCTGCTAGCAAGCATTATTTAGGTCAGCATCACTCACTGCAGGTTCAAGATAATCCCAAGATTGCCACCTTATTTTAAGAAAGCAGAGAAGTTCAAGTTCACATTGTGCGCACAAGAGCAGAAGCCTAAAATTGGCTGAGGTTGGTGTCCCGGGGGGATGATCCTACCTTCCTGCTGCCCTAGTATCGGAAACCCCCCCCAACCCTAGAAGCAACTGGGTCCCAGAGGATGAGTGGCACTGGAGATATCATCCACCGCCCAGTGGCCTGGGCCTGCCATTGCCTGTAGCTGCTCTCTCACCCTGTACCCCACTATCTGCTTATGGCTCTGTAGGCTTTGTGCATGTCTCATGTCATTGCTTAAGCATTAAAAGTAGGTTTTCTTTAATCAGTTTTTTTTTTCTTTCTTTTTTTCAAATTCATTTTGGCCTGTGTTTTTTTTCATTTTTAGCAAAGATAGTGTTCTGTACTTGAGCAAATACAGTGAAAGTAATGATTGTTAAATAGTCATAGATTAGTGTTGAGTAGTTGGTGACATGAGCCACAAACTAGTCACATATTGTTTTCACATATAAAGACACATCCAACCTTTTAACTGTAAAGGTACAAAGAGACATGACTATACCCTGTGGAATTTGAACCTTTGCAGACTCATCTGCTTCTCAGCAAAAAAATTCAGATCTGGTTTTAAAATTACAATATTTAATTAATAGGTCGATGTTTGAAATTGTAATGAGAACTGCTGTGATTGCTGAGCTTTAGATTATTTTGGATATACTAAACTTTAGTAAAAGTGACATTAGTGACTTAACTAATTAAACTAGTTATGTGATGAATAGATACAGTTGAGACACTTAAAAATATTTAATTTTGGTCTCCAAATCCCAACAGATTGTAATTACTGATATTATCTTAGTTCATCATCTCTTGGCCTAAGTGTAGAATGTCACACCCAGTGCTAGCCAAAGGCTATCACTGAACAGACAAAGTGATGGAGATCCTAGCATTTGCTGATGAAGTCAATGCAATGCATTAAAAGCTCAGAAAGAGATGGAGATAAATGATAGGGTTAAATTGACTTCGAGAAGAGGTTATTTTGTCACACATTGGATTCCAAAGGTCAATGTTGAACTTCCATGCACAGTGTAGAAGAGGTTTCTTCGAGTTGTATTAAATGTTTTTGATACCCAGGCCATATAGACAACAACATAGCTCCACTAAACTCACTGCACTGTTACTGTAGACAGTATGTAACATACATCAGGCATGGAAGGCCACTGAGGCCTAATTTGGCAGATGGTACATAACCAGTGGCTTATTATTGTGCAAAGTTGTTGACAGATTTATTTGAACCCTGTTTATAAAGCCACTTGTGGCTTATAATACTAATGGAAGTGGTTTAGGTGCTACCAAAGTAGCCCAAGAGCTGTCTAATATCAGTGGATGTGTTCTCACAGCACTGAATGTTTTGGAATTTGTTTACAAGTACCGAGCCAAAGGACTACAGCGCTGTTGGTGAGATGGAAAGTCCATTCATGTGGCCTACTTTGAACAAGGCATTGTATTGTGGTGCAGGGGAGGTGGCAGTCCTACCCAAGACAAAGTGGACCAGTCATTTGGGCAGCAGTGGGAAAAGTCTGTGTCTGTACAGTGGGCAGGGAGTGGCTGGGTCATGCTGACAATGCATCCAAGAACCCAAGGTTCACTTGGAGTAGAAAGAAATCAGAGTTTCGCATTAACTAGAGAAAACTGATGAATCTCAAAGTACCTTTTTAAAGGTGCATGCTGGGTAAAAGTTAAGTCATGGTCATTAGTTCATGGAGGTCGGCATTCACAGGTTAAACTGGGAAGCTGATGTTCATTTCCTAATATAGCTGCTAGCTCCCTGTCATCATGGCCTGATATTGGGGGGGTTGAAAAAGACTTACAAGATCATTGGTGCTGAAGGGGATCATGTGATTGTTGGAACAGTTGCTGAGAACATCTTTGGAAGTCTATGGCCTCCAAGATTGCCAGGGGCCACATGGTCTAAAAGCAGGGGTTATTACAGTGACAGTAAAAACCTCCTCAGATGTGTGGCTGAGGATATGGTAATGTTTAAATAACCTGATTAACCACACAAGGGCAGTCATTTTTTCATTTATTTTTATTTTTTATCAGAACATTCCATAATTGTGACAATGCTATGATAGGTATTTAACAAAGCTGAATTATTTAGCAGGTAACTGTCTACAACAAAGAATGCAACTCTTGATTTCTAGATATCATATTTTTTATATTCTGAAAATGTGAGGAAAGCTTGCTTAGCCATCAACTTGTAAAACTTGGTATAGGTCTTTTAGAGGTGGATAAAAACAGTGATGCCTGTGTGCAGGTCTGCATTACTGAAGACTTTACCATACTTAACATTTTTCACTCACTTTTTTTAAAGACTGAAATATGGTGAATATGGCAAAAGTATGTAGCTTGTTGGCTAGGTTGATTGTTGCTGCTAATGTTTGAACTGAAACAGATGGAGATCTCGTAACCACACCTTTAAGACTCAACCTGACTAAACCTGACTGGTCCAGTTAAATTTGAAATTTGAATCTGACTTATTTCATTCAAAACTGACTTTTTTGCCGAGTTATTGCAGTGCATTACCAACCACTGTCTTTCCCTCTTTCCACTGGATGCTGTATATGTATTTGGTACTTGACAAGTGGCACATTTACAAGGACAGTAATGTTTTTTTGTTGTTGTTGTTTTGTTTTTTTAACTTTAAAAAATAATCAAACTCAAAGTGAGCTTTATCTGTAGATGGTCCATAAAGACCATAAAAGATGGTCATAGCCCCTGGGGATGAAAAGATAGGCCAATGCAACAGTGTCTTAAACTTGTGTTCCTTCTAATGACCAGTCGTGGGCAACTCCTCTGGTTGCGAAAAAAAACAACTTGTTGTATAGAAGTCTTTGAGAAAATGACCCTTCTCCCTTGATTTGTTAGCTCAGTGAACATTTTCCTAATGTGTTCATGGTCTCAATTTATTAAGACATTTCTTTCTTACAGAATGATGTTCATTTTGTAATTTACTGTCCCTTTTAGAGTAAAATAGGGTATTTTTTGACTAGCCCTACTTAGTGATTGACATGTCACTACTGTATTGGCATACATGGTGTCTTTGGGTTCTTTAGTGAGATCCACTTCTTGTGGGTTAAGTCCAGTGTCACAACACCAAGATGGAAAGGGCAAAATTCAAAACTTGAGATCTCGAAACCATAGTCCATAAGCCAGTGGGTGACATCACAGTCACTATATCCATCCTTTACGTACAATCTATGGCTATGCACAACAAATGACCTCATACAATGGGTTAGATAGCACAGCACACTCTATATCTGTTACCAGAAGGTTAGTGACGGCTTTTAGTAGCTAGTGCTTTCCTGCTATTTGATGTTGAAGAGTACAGGGTGCACTTGGTTTGCTCCGTCTGTTGGTGATGAATTATGAACACAGATATGGTGTTGTCCAGATGGCACACATTGTAAACTATTGGACTGACTGGTTTTGAATGTGTGAAGAATGAAATTGTCCTTATAGCTTTGGTTTTGTTAATAAACAGGAATGGCAAAAAGTGATTTTGAGGTAGCTACCAGTAAAGTGTTAGTATTTAATATCTAATATCAATTAATTTTCACACTGTCAGATGAGATTGCACAGCAGAGTAGGCCCGCTATTGTTGTAAATTACAGGGAAAATTCCACAAATGAACATTATGAGTGCACCATCTCATCACCCTTTATTAATTATAATTTTCCGACTACACAAGAAAGGCATTGAGGAGTAAATATAGGCCTTTTTATCTTTATGACCTTTTACTTGTTCTTGAAATTTCTTTTAAAATCTCATCCCATCTTTTTACTTCAGCGTTGTATCATTTGTGGTGTTCGTTGTTTAAAGGTACCTTTGGTCACTATTAGAAGCTCTTTCAATGCTGCTACGACAGTTACATAAGTGTTGCTAAGTAAACTTAATGACTTAAACTATTGTATCAAGGTACAAATAGTAGTTATATTCTCTTTGTAATAGAAATTATGAAAATAAAGCCTTATACACATAACTAAAACACTGTTGGTGCTGAAGGCAGAGCCCGAATTACAAAAGGCTAGGAGGAGAATGGTTAATACCATTGAATTTTTGTGTCAACAGAATTTATCAGCATGTGTGTACAGAGAACAATTGCCACA